GTCATTTAATAAATTAATTCATCACAACTTGAAAAATGTATTGTGATAGTAACCTTTTTTGTTGAATATGAATTTTTTTTAAAATTTTTTTGTGACAATTGTAATTGTCACTACTTATGATAATATTTAGTGACAATATATGTCGTCGGTAAAAAGCAACACTTTTAGTGACAAAATGATAGATTTAATCACAAAATTATTAACCTTTTTTTATAATAATAAATTTGTCCCTAATTTATACATTTAAGGACAAAATATTTTTTTGTATATAAAAAATAGTCTTTAGTGATGATATTATATTTTTTCAACTACAAAATACATATAACTTTAGAGACAATTGATGTCTTCCCTGATTGAACTAAATAATTAGCGACGATATAGTTTTGTCGATAGTAATAACCTTTTTAGTGACAAAACATACAATTAAATACAAAAAAAGGTAAACTCTTTATGACAAATAAATTCGTCACAAATGTTTATGCATTTGGGGAAGATTTTCTTTTTGTAGTTAATATATTAGTTTTAGCGACGAAGCACTAAATCGTCTTTGTATACTTTTAGTGACGACTAATTGACGAAATTTTTTTCGTCACACAAAATTTTTAGTGACGAAATTATTTGTCCCTGATAATCTAATTTGGTGTAGTGTCAATTGGCTTACAAGCACATATTTTACCACAAATTTATTATAGTTTGAAAAATGCGTAGTAGTAAAATCAAGAAATTCCAAAATTTCTCTTTTCTATACTATCAAGAATAAAAATAGCCAGTAAGGTCTATATATTCGTGTGTGATTCCTATTGAAACATATATGCATCAAATTAGCTCTTGATATTTTAAATTAATGATTTAATATTGTAGACAAGAACATGGAATAATATAATCCCCACAAAATATAATGGGATCATAGAATCCCCCACAAAATTTAATGGAATAATAGAATCCCCACAAAATTTAACTGTGCAATTGACAAAAAAATGAGACATGAAGGGAGTGTTTGGTATGACGGTAATGTTTTTCATATAAGAAAATATTTTTTAAGAAAATAAGTGGGTTTCTTTCTTATTTTTTTTCTTCATCTTAAACGAATATATAATTTAGATAAATACTATGAAAGGTGAAGATAGAGGGATGAGGATGGAGATAAGGTGTGTTGGAAGGTGAGGATTACTACCAATGTGGAATGTTAGTAACTTGTTTTCCAGACTTTCATTAACTAAGGAAGTCAATTTCCTCAATTTTAAAGAATTTATTTTCATAGAGAAATTTTTTTTAATTTTTTTTGGCCAATCGAACCTGAACCTGAGACTCCTATCTCCTAATTATTAAGGAAGAAAAAATGAATATTTTTCCAAGCTTATGTTATTTTCAAAGTTTAAGATATTGTCCTTTAACGTGTTCAACGTGATAATTGACAGTGATGAAATTTAAGATTCACCAAACAAAAGTTAAGAAGGCAAAGCAACTTTTGTGGTTATAAATTATAATAGAATCCCCACAAAATTTAACTGTGCAATTGACAAAAAAAAATGAGACATGAAGGGAGTGTTTGGTATGACGGAAATGTTTTTCATATAAGAAAATATTTTTTAAGAAAATAAGTGGGTTTTTTTCTTATTTTTTTTCTTCATCTTAAACGAATATATAATTTAGATAAATACTATGAAAGGTGAAGATAGAGGGATGAGGATGGAGATAAGGTGTGTTGGAAGGTGAGGATTACTACCAATGTGGAATGTTAGTAACTTGTTTTCCAGACTTTCATTAACTAAGGAAGTCAATTTCCTCAATTTTAAAGAATTTATTTTCATAGAGAAATTTTTTTAATTTTTTTTTGACCAATCGAACCTGAACCTGAGACTCCTATCTCCTAATTATTAAGGAAGAAAAAATGAATATTTTTCCAAGCTTATGTTATTTTCAAAGTTTAAGATATTGTCCTTTAACGTGTTCAACGTGATAATTGACAGTGATGAAATTTAAGATTCACCAAACAAAAGTTAAGAAGGCAAAGCAACTTTTGTGGTTATAAATTGAAGGTTCCAAAGATAGTGAGATGCACCAAACTTTGATCTCTTTGAGACAATTATATATCCTCTTCTCCAATTATTTTAATTTTTAGCTTCTATTAGAATGGGAACTGGAAGTGTACGTAATATTTATGCTCAATTTTCTAGTCTTTCTTTTATATACTCATTCATTCATTTTAAATCATATTAATACATATATTAAATTTTTTTGTGTGATTATGAAATAGGAGTTTGACTCAATGGTTGTCGCAACAAAAAATGGAATCAATGCACCATCGTCTCCGAGGGAAAATATGTGTCTTAGTTTGATTGAACCTCATGTTAAGGATAAAGCATCTTCTGAAGAATTGAACATGATTTGACTCAATACGTAGACACATTATCCCAGAGGATGAAATATCATATAGGTAATCAGTAGATATACATTCTTTTTGTATAAATGTGGGAGATAATATTTCAGAGAGGTGTGTTTCTCAAACTAATATGTGATAGTTTAGGTATAAAATTCACACTATCAATAGTTTAGATATCAAATTAATTTAAAAAATGAGATATTTTAGATGTGTTTTTGACACTTCACTCAAAATAAAAATATAAAACCTTTGTACTTCTTACTGCAACTTCATATTATCGAGAATATGACTCTAGATAGGAGGGGAGTGGAGGTCCTGTATTAGGATAGAAAGTTAGTAGGGATAGAATGTTGTCTTGTCTTGCTTTTTTTTTTCTTAATCTATTATCATGTATTGTGTATTATGTTTCGATTATTATACTATTTTGTTGTTGGTATTGTTTCTTTCGTAACTTGTAGGCTCTACGGTGTTTTTCTTATTAACTATAATGTTTTCTCCTTTATTTTCCTCTCCTTTACTTGGGTTTGATGTAATCTTTAGGAAACAACCTCTCTACCTCATGGAGGTAGAGATGAGGTATGCGTAGACTCTATCGTCTCACATTGAATTTGATGAAATTTTACGGAATGTGTTATTGTTATTGTACTTTTATAAAAAAATAATGCATTAAATAAATATGTATGGCATTATTTATTTAATAAATGAGTTAGGGAGTTGTTGTCAAATAAATAAATAAAAAAGTTAGGGAGTTTATAAATTTCCCGAGTACAAACGTAATGTGCTGGAGGTATATATTATATATATACTCCTTACAAAGAAATTAAACTATTAATTATTACATAGATTTTTTATAGTGAATTTGTCCTACTAGACAGTGTGTTTAGCGGCCTTTTATTAATAATATAATTAAAAGAAATTCAACAGAAATAAGTAATGCAAGGAGGACTAGACATTATCTTACCAATTCTAATGAGGTAAGAAACCTCTACTAGTTAATTTGCATGAAGAAAATAAGAACTAGACAAAATTAAATATTTTATGATCTTCACCAGTTTGTATTACACTCTATAATGATATTACAAATTAAGATGCTAAAAGTAGTGCAAAAGTATAAAATCCATAATGAAATTTGAGTAATCAAACTCAAACTTCATTTTACAAAAGTTTTGAGCATTAGGTTATCCATTATATATGTAAATTTGATCTCTCTAGATTGTTTATTTTACAGGTTATCCACTTAACCTTTATTATGAGCATCATGCTGCTTTAGCCCCACTCTTGCAATTTCATTTGAACAATTTTGGAGACCCCTTTACTCAGCACCCTACAGATTTCCATTCAAAAGATTTTGAAGTGGCTGTTTTAGATTGGTTTGCACAACTCTGGGAAATTGAGAAAGATGAATATTGGGGATACATTACTAGTGGTGGCACTGAGGGCAATCTCCATGGCCTTTTGGTTGGGTAAGTTTCA